CAAACATAATATCAGACATATTGGGGTTCCTGTACTACCCTTTGGTCCTAACAACCAAACTCGGGACTGGTCCCCTCCTACTACCTCTATCGCATATACATAACAGGCCAGCATGCAAACATATCCTCACATACTTTCAGACGTATATGGGGTGTCTGACTACCCTTCGGTCCTAACAACCGAACTCTACTACTATCACATACAACATATCATGCTATCATATAACATATCAGGTAGTAGCAAACCTAGATGATATCACAAAGACAATCATCTATCATACGTCTCCTACTGGTGGGCCAGCATTGTGGCCTTAGACCGACCGCTACTGGAAGGTAACTCACCTCGTAGTAGCTGCTGAACTGTGCGGGAATCCTTTGACTGTTGTTGCTCCGGAAATCCTCCAGCTATAATTCCCACTAAACGATCAGTCAAACACTGCTAGCTATACTTAGGGTAAAATGACCATTTTACCCTTGACCAGGTCAAAGTCCAAATCAAAGTCAACTTCCAATTTACCCGACTCGCAGAGTTGGCTTGCCAACTCATCGAGTCCCTACACATTCGATTGTCCTTAATCCCGTCTCTACTCGACGAGTTAGGCATTGACTCGATGATTTCTCCTTCTAAACTGATGCCCAAAGGTCCTTCATCCTACTCGCCGAGTTGCATTAACAACTCGTCGATTTCATCTTCATTTGATGAACACTCTAGATGCGACTCGCTGAGTTGTATGAACAACTCGCCGAGTCTGTTCTTGAGGTAAGAAGATTGCCTTGGACTCACCGAGTCAGGGAATTGACTCGCCGATTCCCTCCATGGATGAGTCTGGCTTCCAACTCACTGAGTCCACCCATGACTCACAACTCCACTTAGCAAACACGAAAGAGGGGGAAACTTGGGGACTCGCGACTCTACTCGCCAAGTCCGATGAACGACTCGCCGAGTCGTTCACATGCAATTACTATATACTCGATTCTACTTGAATCCAGTTCATACCATACATAGATCTGGGCTCTTAGGGTAAGTTTTACACGTAAAGTTTCCAACTTTACGTGTATACATGCATAGGATGGGGATTTGAGGCTTAATAAAGGCTAAAATGGTAGATCTAGGACATTCAAGCTATTTACTCCCATAAAGGCCATGGATCTGAGCTTTTGGAGCTCAAACAAGTCTAGATCTAGAGGTTAATCAACTCATTACAATCCTAATCCGTAATCAAGCTTGGAAAATGGCTCAAGAAGGACTTTAATGGTGTTCTAAGGGACTTTAAGCATAAAAACATAAGGAAATTGAGTTATACCTCAATGAATCTCTGAAATAACACCAAGATATTTGGCCTCCTTCTTCTCCTCTTGATCTACTCTCCTTCTTCTCTCAAAATCTTCAAGAAATCACACCAAAACACTTCAATCTCACAAGAAAAGGGGTTAGGTCGATATAAGGAACTCTGAGGGTGAAGGAGTCGGGCTTGGGGCGCATAAGGTTGATTTAAATAGGGTGAAAACCCTTGAAATTAGGGTTTTATAAAGACAGGGGGGACTCACCGAGTCTAGAATGTGGACTCACCGAGTTCCCAACTTAAACGTGCTCAAAATCCCAACTCTACTCAGCGAGTCGGGCCTACAACTCACCGAGTCCAAGGCTAAAAAATGTAAATTACTTAGATAGGTCATACGTACCAGGAACCAGGTGCTAAACTCTTCTTTTAGACCGTGCACTCTCTTCTATTCATCAATCTACTCCTCAACCCTAACACACATACACACACACACACACACACATATATATATATATATATATATACTAAGGAACATGGGCTAGGTGAACATGGGCCGTAAACTTGTTTACGGCCGTAAACACTTATATGGCCGTAAACACCAAGCTGTTTACGGTCCAAGACAAAAAAAAATACAATTTTTCGTAGAAAAGTAAAGTATAAACCATGTTTTTGACCCAACAATCTCCCCCTTGGTTTATAAATTTCTTTTCTAAATGACCCAACATGCTCCCCTAAAAAGTAGCTGGCTTTTCTTGTCAGTCTTCATCGAGAGCTTGGCTTCAACATTTATCTTCAATGAATGACTTCATCTTGAGCACTTGAGTAATTCTTCAAGATTTGGAATTGAATGCACATTGGGTGAGGATGCTTGATGTACTAATTCTTGAAAGATGATGCTTTCAGCTTGAGAATCTTTAGAGAGAACTTCAAAGAGAAATAATTTTCGGGATCACTTCAGCAGGTTCATAGATAGCAGCAGATTGATTGAGGAGCCTTCAATGCAATTCGTCACATAATCTTAAATTTCAGCTTCGCCTTTCTCCTGAGGTTGGAAGATTGAATGTTGAAAGAATAATCTTCATTTCTTGCTACTTCGAATGAGAATTCTTCGATGCTCACGGACGAAACCGTGGCTCATAAATCTTCGACACAAATTCCATGAGTTTCATCTTCACCTGAATTCACTTTTCAAGACAAAAAAAACGAAAAGAAAATTTAGCAAACAATATTTCTGGGTTTTTCATATTTTCTGAAAAAAATAAAACGGAAACAAAAATATTTTTGGATTTTTGATTTTCTTGAACAAGAAATAAAACAGAATATAACACTATTTTTTGATTTTGAATTTTCTGATTTGTTTTATTCTCCTCCTAAATTTTTGCATAGAGGAAAACTATGAATAAATTAAACAAAAACAAAAATATTTGGGATCAAAGTTGTGAGACAACCTTAATCCACTTGTCGGTACCTCTACCTTCATGTTTATGTCTGATCGATCGTCGGTATTGTGATCCACTTAAACATGAAAAATTTGTGATAAATTTTGGACAAGCTAAGAAAGACAAGACATTTTTGATCCTATATTCTTAGATAAATTTCCTAGGGACCATTTAGTTTATGATGACCAGGGATATTGTTGTCCACCTAAATTGAGCAGCAAGATCTACAGACAACCTGTATGTGTTCATTTTTAATTGTACTAGAACGTGTTTCCCGCTTCCTGATATGCCCCAGCCATCAAGGACTTCCAAAATAATCCTTACACCAGGTGAGCAGATAATTATTAAGAGAGAAGATATATTTAGAATGCATATGTTGTACATCCAGGTCGGATCTCTTCCAATCATACAAAGGATGAAACATATGACTAACTGAAGTTTTAGAGGTATTAAGAAGAGAACGTTGCATATACTGTGTACCAGGTCGGATTATGAGTCACGCAAAGGAGACAGTATGTGGCTAACATATAAAAAGAATTGCATAGAGAGAAGATGCAGAGAGATAGAATTGTATGTGTTACAGTCCAGGTCGGATCTCTCGATCACGCAGAGGAGGCAACATATGACTAACAGACAGAAAGCAAGAAAATAACCTTCTACAGACCTACTTTATCGGAATTTCCCAGTTACCCCGTCAAAACCGAAATTAAGGACAGAATCCGCACATCAAGGAAATTTTAATCCACAGTTCTAGATACGGGTTATTTTAATGTGATCAGTAGATTCCCATGTATATCTCCCTGCTCAACCTATCTGAGCATCGTGATGTCAGGCTAAACGAATCTAACTAGGTTAATGTTTTTCAAGTCCTTGAATTCATTAACTTTAACTCTCCCTAGTCAAGTCCATTTAAAATCTTTCGTGCCTCCCAGCACATCAAGCACAGAGCGTAGACGATTCAATTTAGGTACGTTATGCAGATTCAGATTGTCCGTTATCACTTGATAATATCATTTCCCAAACAATACCTACTAATAAAAAATATTAAGAAAATGAAAAAATTGTCTTTAAAACGAATCACGGTAAGATAAATTCAGGAGAATAGAGAAGAAAACACAAACCGTAAATCACCAATTGAATCTGCATCCAGAAGGTCTGAGAATACCACGCATAATCTCATAATAGATCCGAAAATTCTTCATGTCGTTAAGCACAAATCCCATGTGATCCCTTTCTTTCTTCCTTTTCCGCAAAGGACACATACTCTCAAACAAAAGTTTGAATGTTGTACAGTTGAGACATGTGCCCTATCATGTGCCTGGAACAGCCACTACCAAGAAACCGAAGTCTAATGATATGCCTCCACAGCTGCTCCGACACAGAGCGAGATTAGTTGGTCTTTGGATCCGGTCCATTTTGAAATTGGGTCGACCTTTGTCATCAATGCAAGGTACTATCTCCATGACATATCCTGCTTATCACAAACAGAAGATGTAGAAATATTAGAATCATTAATTGATTTGGGAGATTGAGCCTTCGGAACCCATTTGTAGTTGGATTTAACCCATTTTTTCGATCTGATGGGTGGCTCAGTGCTTGCTTTTGATCTTGATGTCGGTCGTTGAGATGAATTTGACTTAACTGGTCTTTGTTTCACTGGAGCATCTCTTGTATTGGACTTGTTGGCTGACATTTCCTTATAGCCCTTGGGATTTAGATTCTTGGCCTTATGGGTTTGAGTCTTGGCCTTCTGCGCATTCCAGTCACCATTGTCTGAACGTGACCCGGAAGAGTTTATTTTGAAGTATCTCCCACTTGGCGCGTTTTTCCATCCCTGAGCATAGTAGGGAACGCATGCACGATTAGGACAATTTCTGGCAATGTGTCCTGGTGTTCCACACTGAAAACAAGTCTTTTTCTTCACTGGGAAGTTGTCTCTTCCTGCCCCTGGTGGCGTATCCATGCCTTCTCTCTTATTGACCCCACATGC